TTTTTTTTTTTTTTTTTTTTTTTTTTTCTGTATTAAAATCTTCGCATTGTATATTTGCATTGTTTTTTGCATTACCCTTTTTTGTATTATTTTTTTTTTCGCGTCATTCGAAATTGAAGCTGCTTCCAAAGGGGGTCAAAACTTAAACCCTTTCCCGACGTGACGCCTTTTTTGTTGTTATATATTTTAACATGCTGTCAAGAACGTGAAGAAGTTTTTAAAAGCATTAAATATTATTTTTATATGATGAGGACATGGCTTCTTTTTGCCCGCACCCCCTTAAAAGCAGACGGGAATAGTTTTACGCCCATGCGCAAGACAGGCCGCCCGGTATTGCCCTGCATTTAGTGCTGTTTTTTCTTCGCCGTGGGAGGAACGTGTTATTGTAGAGCGCGCGGGGCAACAAGTAACGGACCGACTCTGAAATGGTGCAAATAAAAAGAATACGTTCATATATATGCGTAATATATTTATATATGCCTCTATATATGGCGCCTATTATTTATATTGTCAGCATGCTGCGTATATCTGTCACTTGGGGCGATCCTGCGCTCTGCGGGTTTACTTCGCAAAAAAAATACCCCACAAATGCGAGGCACGTAACATGAAAAAAGCCACATGGCAAAAGGAGGCAACGACGTCATGCCTCAAAACATTTATTTGTATTGTTGATTAAGTCCTGCGCAACTCTGAAAGAAACAAAAAAAAAAAAAACGGTGCTGCACTTCGCGATCCGTGTTAAATTTTTTCTAACGCACGAAACCTAGTCCTTTGAAAATGAACTACAATAAAGTAAGTCCACCGCGAAACTTTCTATAATTCGTTGTTTTTTTTTTTTTTTCGTGCATTCCGCGTGACGGAGAACCTGTTTTTCTTTTTTCCCTTTTTAATAAACATCTTGCTACCGTATTCTTTTATTATTATTATTATTATTTTTTTTTTTTTTTTTATTTTACAAATAGATTAAATCATTTTTTTTTTTTAACTGAACAACATGTAGTCAATTTATTATTACCTTGGAAATTTTCTTAATCTTCATTTTTTTATTTTCTGAAGTTGCTGTTTTTTAAATCTGTTAATTATTATGTTTTTCTAAATGTTGTTCTTGTTCTTGTCCTTTCCATTTTTATATTTTTTGCATGTTTTTGTCCTTGCGCTTTTTTAATGGTTATCTCGTGCGCCCTTTTTATTTTATTTTATTTTTTTCTTGGGGACTCTTGGTTTTTAATTCTCCTCCGTTTTTTTTCTCTCTGCTCATTCTGGTTGCCCATTAATAGTTTTCTGGACTGTTCTGCCTCCGTAAATTTATATCTCTTTCCATTTCATCTTGTCCGCGATCTGTACCTTCCCTCCCTCACCCCGTGCATCTCGAAACACGCATCGGATAGAATCCATTTTGTAAATATTCATCGCCGCGTACTCGTACAAGAAACATTTATGATGGATGCTTCAAACAAAGGAGCCAGTAGGGTGCCCCAGAACAGGGCCGGAAACAAGCCAGTCGCCACCAGGGGCGGGAATAGGGCGGTGCCTCAACGAGGAGTCAAGCAGCCGGTGGCTCAGACCCCCGCCAGTAATGTCCCGAGTCGGGCACCAACAGGGGTAACACGTGTCACGCAAAATGAGACAACAAGGGTAAACGTAAAAGAGAGTGAGAAAAAAATTTCAACTGGACCAGAGAGAAAAATCATGGACGAGAGAGAAAAGGCCAGAGGTCCAATAGCACAGAAGGAGCCCTTAAGACAAGCAGGGGGGACTAATAGGTTAGGTGATAAGGGGATAAAAGAGGAATCCCCTAATAGGGATACTAAGAAGGTTGGAGGCAATAATGGAATCGAGAACGACATGTGCAAGAAGGGGACTTTCTTAAGTCGAGATGGACTAGAGTTGAAGACATATGCGTGGGTGGTGAAGAACCCAGTTGGAATTATAATATTAGTGCATGCCCTAAATTCCCATGTGAGATTTGAATACCTAAAGCATAATGTCATAATAGAGAGCAAGGAAAAGGTCACTCTTGTGGATAAAAATAATTATTACATTTACAAAGACAGCTGGATTGAGCGTCTGAACAAGAGTGGTTACTCAGTGTACAGTCTAGACTTGAGAGGCCATGGACAATCCGCGTGCGTTCAAAATGTGAAAACTTATGTAAATCGTTTTAAAGATTTAGTGTATGACGTTATGGATTATGCTAACAGTGTATACGACTCATTGTGCGAAGAGCAGAAGACTAAAACAAACAACGCAGCATGTGGTGACGGTGTTAACAATGCTACAGATATGGGATCCTCCGGTGCGTTAACCTCTGATAATGAGAACACAAGGCCTGGAAGTCAACCATCTACAGACAATGCGCCGTCCACGCAGAATAACAACTCCAGTGATGTGAACGCTAGTACTAAGACAAATCAAATCCCCCCATTCTACTTCATGGGTTTGTCCATGGGAGGAAATATCGTTTTAAGAATTTTGGAATTGAGAGAAAAAAAAAAGAAAGTGCAATTGATTAAGCGATTAAACATTAAGGGAGTGATTAGTCTAGCGGGCATGATATCACTAGATGATCTGAAGAAAAAACCAGAGTATAAATATTTTTACATACCTGTTGCGAAGCTTGCAGCTACACTTATGCCCACCAGGAGACTGAGCCCTGCCTTGAAGTTTGAGATGTTTCCTTACATTAATGACTTGTATGAATTTGACCCCCACTGTTACTGTAAGTCGATCACGAACCGATTAGGAAATGAACTTTTAAAAGCAGTAGATGCCTTACACAATGATATGAAGTACATGCCAGAAGACGTACAAATGTTGTTTGTGCATTCTACAAAGGACAGTGCTTGTTCGTACACCGGAGTGTCTAAATTTTTTAATGCCCTTAAAACAACGAAGAAGGAGTTGTTTACCATTGAGGACATGGACCATATACTTCCTCTGGAACCAGGGAATGATAAAATCCTCAAGAAGGTTATTGACTGGCTATCTAAGATGCACTACGTATAAGCTATGTGTGTTATAAAACGTCATATGATTTTGAAATATCATTCGAGTTGGGATAAGAAAACTATAATTATTATAAACCTATTTTAATGTGTTATGCTACCCTATAATATTAGTCACCCAAAGAGAGCAGAATATTCCCCTTTGCGCTTCTTACAAAATATGCGCGTAAAGCAATACCCCATGGGCGCATACTTTTTTGCATGCGCCATAGAGAGGGAAAAAACACACACACACACATCGTGATTTGGACATTTCAGGGACAAGCCCAAACAGCGTTGCATGGCAAGAGTGTGAGGAGGAAAGAATGAGTGTGTGTGTGTGTGTGTGTGTGTGTATAAAACCCCTCCCATATCAGCCCCTGTTTTAAGCTTCTTCAATTCATTATGGGTTTTGCATTTATCAGTGGAGCTTGTCACTTTTATAACTGGTGTTTAAAGTAGAGCAATTAGGAGGTACATATAGTATAAGTTACCCATCAGCAGCGACATCATGACGTGTTTTAATGAGTCACAGTGTGTGCATTGCTATATATATTATGATTCCCTTTTTTCATTTTTTTTTTTTTTTTTTTTTTATTATTTTTTCCCTCAATTATTATGTTTGATTTGTTACCCATGCATATATGGATAGTTGTGCGTGGACGTTGCAGAGGGGGAGGTTACTTCGTGTATGGGGTGTCCTCTCCGCAAGTACGCACGACAACTCTCCACCTACCCGTAATGTCGCGCCGTAGTATGAACGTGAGCATATTCTCATTGCCATCCTTTTGTTTTTTTTGTTTTTTTTTTTCCATATGAACTGTTTTATTCAAATGTATTTAAAAGAACCGCTCTTCCTTTTCTAGTCTTTTACAAAATGGGGGCACTTGCGTCCCCATACGCGTTGATATAGTGCTTCATTGCCTCAGCGCACGTCCTTTCACATCCCTTCATGGCCCGAAACAGGTCGTGCTTCCATACAACATAGCAGTTTATTTTCCCCTCCCCTTCGCCAAGCTGCCTTTTATCCCCATTGGGGGAAAAATAAAATCACTCCTGTTATCAGAAAGTAGCTGGCATGGGATGGCTAAAACAGGGGAGAGGTGTCTACCGAACAGGTGGGGGGCTCTTCCCGCGGTGGAGCCACATGCAATGTGTAATGCATACGAAACTTTGGCATATGTAGCTTGTTCACTTGTGCACCCAGCAACAAATTAAGGAGCCCAAGGGCAGGAAAAAAAATAAGCATGAATAAAAGGTGGAAGTTTCAAGGTCAACTTTGCATAAGCAAAGTAATATGGACGGAACATTTTCCCATTTTTTTTTTTTTTTTTTTTTTTTTTTTGTGCAGCGCTTTTCGTGAGCAGTTTATGTATTATTAATTTTATTTTTTTGTTCCACCCACAAACGGTGTTGTTAATGTGAATTATTTTTTCCCTCAATTTTGCGGTTAATCCTTTGTGGAGTAGCACACGACGTGCGCCTTTTGCAAAATTTGTTTCTTTTTTTCTTCATAATTAACTTTTTCTTTTTTGCAGAGTTTGTTCCTTTTTTTTTTTTTTTTACCTGCGTGTTTTCACCCCTCTTGCTCTTGCTCCAGTCCTTTATGCTGTGCCAGTTCGCGAGGGGAAGGTTCCTCAAGTTGGCCCCTTTCACTCTGAAGAGGGAAAATATGCACAGCTTTTAAGCACGTACACCATGGTGACGGGGAAGTCAAATGACCCCAGCGGAGGGGCTGGGGCGGAGGAGGGTCGTCTGCAGGCCAGACGCAACAGCAACAACGCGGGCAACGGCAACGTTCACCGCTACTGCGGCGCGGAGAAGGCACCCCCGAGCGGCATCATGAAGAAGCAGAGCAAAGGCCAAGCCAAGACAGTCCAGCTGGCCACCAGTCCAGGGGCAACCCCCCACGACATAGAAGCAAAAAAAGTGGCCGCAGAAACTGCATACGAAAGGGAGGAAGAAGACATTTACAAAAGCGTGTATGAAGTGACCTCCAATGCGGAGCCCAACTTTTTTAACTGCGACACTGTTCCGTGGGTATCTTCCTTTTTTTCTCTCAAGGAGGAAGATTTCACCATTTTTGGAAACACACTGAAGAAGAGAAATATCTTTAAGCGATGCTTCCAACGTATCCACAAGAATAGGAGGAGGAGGTGCATGTCCTTTAACCCTTATAGAGTACCACTGGTGTGTAAGAAAGTAACCCTTGAAGAAATGCTAATCTCTGAGCCAAAAAATAAAAAAAAAAAAAAAAAAAAAAAAA